TTCCAGTGTTGAACTTAAGGAGAGGTAATTCTAACAACGTTTTTGCAGAAGGTGTTGTGAAAGATACCAAATTTCAGGTAGTAGATATGGAGATGGCATATAATGTAATCATGGGGAGACCGTGGATTCATGATATGGACGCTGTCCCGTCAACTCTACATCAAGTAATGAAATTACCATCACCATGGGGAATCTGTCAAATTCGAGGGGAACAACATACAGCTAGGAGTATTAATATGGTAACAGATACGAGTGCTGTAAATAAAGTTGAAGAAGACATAGACCAAACCACAACGGAACGAGGAAAGACAGATATAGACTTGAGACCTGATATGATTCAAGAGCCTGAAGAGAATGAAAACATCAAAACAACAATTGAGGAGCTCGAGCCTGTGATACTATTTGAACAATGGCCTGAACGAAAGGTTTATGTGGGAGCCAACTTAAGCTCAGATACGCGAGGTATGTTAATTGAATTCTTAAAAGCTAACGTGGATTGTTTTTGCTTGGTCCCATGCTGATATGACAGGAATACCACCGGATGTAATGACTCACAAACTAAATGAAGACCCATCTTGCACACCCGTAAAACAAAAGAAAAGAAAGCAAGGAGCTTTCAAAAACCAGGTGATTCAAGAGGAGGTCCAAAAGCTATTAAAAATTGGGTCAATTCGTGAGGTAAAGTATCCTGATTGGTTGGCTAATACGGTTGTCGTACCTAAGAAAAACGGTAAGTGGCGGGTTTGTGTAGATTATACCGATCTTAACAAAGCCTGTCCAAAAGATTCCTTCCCTCTACCTCATATAGATCAGTTAATTGATGCAACTGCAGGGCATGAACTTTTAAGTTTCTTAGATGCATATTCGGGGTACAACCAAATAAAAATAGACCCCGGTGATGAAAACAAAACTTCTTTCATCACAGACAGGGGGACTTACTGTTATAAAGTAATGCCCTTTGGTCTCAAGAATGCTGGAGCAACCTATCAAAGGTTGGTCACCAAAATGTTCCAAGAACATTTAGGAAAAACTATGGAGGTATATATAGACGATATGCTCGTCAAGACCCAGCATTCTAATGATTATATTTCTCATTTATCTGTTACATTTGGAATTTTGCAAAAATTTAATATGAAACTCAACCCAGAAAAATGTGCATTTGGAGTTGCCTCAGGTAAATTTTTGGGCTTTCTTGTTTCTAACCGTGGGATTGAAGTGAATCCCTCTCAGATCAAAGCAATAGAAGAAATTCCTGATATCCTTACAAGTAAGAAAGAGGTTCAAAGATTAACAGGAAGAATTGCGACTTTGGGGAGGTTTATTTCCAAATCTTCGGAGAAGTGCTTTAAATTTTTCGCAGCACTCAAAAAACAAGATCATTTTGAATGGAACGAAGATTGTCAACTGGCTCTCAGAAATTTGAAAGCTTATTTGTCAAACCCGCTGCTGCTAGCAAAACCAAAGGAGGGTGAAAAGTTGCTCATTTATTTGGCTGTATCAGAAGTTGCGGTAAGTGCTGTCTTAGTTTGAGAGGACCAAGGTAAACAATCTCCTATCTATTATGTAAGTAAATCTCTGTTAGATGCTGAAACACGATACCCGCAACTAGAAAAGTTAGCTTTAGCTTTGATCATGGCATCTAGAAAATTGAGGTCTTATTTCCAGTCCCATCCCATTGTTGTGGTTACTGCTTTTCCATTACGAAGCATTTTGCATAAACATGAGTTACCAGGAAGGTTAGCAAAATGGGCCATAGAGTTAAGCGAATATGAAATCAGTTATCAATCTAGAACTGCAATAAAATCTCAAGTATTAGCCGATTTCATAGCTGATTTTTGTCAGGGAATGCATTTAGAAGCAGAAAAAGAGTTACAAGTTTTTAATGGTGCAAACCCGGGGACTTGGATTTTATTCGCTGATGGTTCTTCTAATGTAAAAGGTGCAGGCCTAGGGATAGTTCTCGTACCTCCTACAGGTGAAACTATTAGACAAGCTATAAAATGTCATTCTATAACTAACAATGAAGCAGAGTATGAGGCTGTAATTGCAGGTTTAGAACTGGCACGCGAACTTGGCATAACCCAGATTATAATCAAGAGCGATTCTCAACTTGTGGTTAATCAAATACTGGGGACTTTTACAGCCAGGGAAACTCGAATGCAAGAATATCTGGAAAAAGTACGGGAATTAATAACACAATTCCAAACCTGGAAGGTAATGCAGATCCCAAGAGACGAGAATGCAGAAGCAGATGCATTATCTAATCTCGCGTCTGCAGCAGACGTGGCAAATGATACAAATACTTCAATCGTACATCTGTTTCATTCCGTCCTCGAACCTGATAAGAATGAGGTAAATTTTAATCATTTAACATGGGACTGGAGAAATGAAATTATTGCTTTTTTACAGCATGGTACCGTGCCTATCGACAAAACAAAAGCTCATGCACTTCGCAAAAAAGCTGCCCGTTATTGTTTACATCAAGGGAATCTTTATCGAAAGATGTTTGGTGGCCCATTAGCAAGATGTCTCGGACCTTCTCAAACAGAATATGTGATGAGGGAAGTACATGAAGGACATTGCGGAAGTCACGCTGGTGGGAGGTCGCTGGTGAAAACATTGATTCGAGCAGGATATTATTGGCCCAAGATGGAAGAAGAAGCTAATGATTTCGTGTCTAAATGTGATAAATGTCAAAGATACGGCAATAATATACATAGACCAGCTGAGTTACTCCACCCTGTCATAGCTCCGTGGCCCTTTATGAAATGGGGAATGGATATCGTAGGTCCTTTACCACTAGCAAAAGCTCAGGTAAAGTTTCTACTTGTGCTTACAGATTACTTCACTAAATTGGTAGAAGCAGGAGCTTTTAAACAGGTGCGGGAGAAAGAAGTTAAAGACTTCATTTGGAGAAACATAATATGCCGTTTTGGAGTACCAAGGGAAATCGTCTGTGATAATGGACCACAATTCATAGGGGCCCAAATCACAGAATTTTTCGAAAGTTGGCAGATTAAAAGAATAACATCTACACCATATCATCCAGTGGGAAATGGACAAGCTGAGTCCACGAATAAGGTTATCGTCAACAACTTGAAGAAAAGATTGCAAGATTCGAAAGGTAATTGGCCTGAAATATTACCTGGAGTATTATGGGATTATCGTACAACGACAAAAACAAGCACGGGAGAAACCCCATTTTCAATGGT